AATGCGAGCATGTTTTCTGCGAAAGTGGGCGCTTGAACATGTCGCCACGTGCGACACCTGTTCTCGTTATCCCATGGGCTTCTGCCGCGTCCGCCCACGCTGCGGGTTTCCCTTATTTTGAGGCCGTCATAGGCCAATGTTTTTCTTGGGCTTCTCCGGGGCGCCATGGTCTGGGATCTCGGGGGCGCGGGAAGGCGAGAGGCGGCCTGGCCGTCTTGCGCGGTCCACGGGGCCGCGTTCGCACCCCGTTGCCCAGCGGGGCTGTCAGGAAACGCTGTCGGGTCTCGAGGGCTCCCCCTGAGAGCCCCCGCCCGCGACCCCCGCTCGCCTGCGGACCCTCAGGGGTCGGCGGATTTCGCGGTTGGGCTCGACGGGAAACGAGGGGCCAAACGTTTCTTGTGCGCTTGCTTGGAAGGCCCGCCGCGTCACGTCCCAGAAGTGGACGCGTGGTTGCAGCAGGGTTGCCCCAGGCCGCCTTTGCAGGCAGGCTTGTACTGCGCTGACCACGACGCAGTTGCTGAGGACACCCGGGCGAACTCTTACCCCATCGGTTTCCGGGGCCACATTTCTCATGCGCGGGGGGCTCCGGGGTTCCAGCCGAGCGTTCCGTTGTCATGCTTGCGCGGTTACCGTAGGTGAAGATTCGACAATAGTTCAAAAGCATAAAATCCATGCGCGGCATTTCCGCCCCCGTCAGGATCTCCCCGCTCCTGCAGAAGAGGTTGGCCGCATCCTCAAGCACAGGGCTACCGTCGGAGGCGAGATCGAGTATCAAGTTGAGCAGCCGTTGGTGGACGGCGAAGGCACGCGGCAGGCATGGTTGAAATCCTCTGACGTGAGCCTGACTATGCGCCGGAGCTACGACATGTCCAGACTGAAAACTACCGCGGCACGCGGCACGAAACGCGTCCAGAGAGCGCGCGGTGGCTCACAGGCGACGGCCCCTTCAGGCACGCACGTGCTCGCCGAGGACGACTGCGACAAGGGCGAATGCCATATCGATAAAGCTGCGCAGGGAAGCAAAGCTCCCAAAAAATGGGAGCGCAGACGTTTGGGAGGAATTATTGCCGCCGTGAGCGGTTGCCGGCTCTTTTTGGATTGGGAAGAACACCAGTTTGGAGAAGGGACGAGCCAAGTGTACGTCGTTTTGGCGGGCGTTGTGCAATTCATCCAAGAGTGCCGGGATGCAGGGCTCGGTGGTCGGGTTCCTGATGTGGTATTTTTTGACAACGCCTGCGCCTTGGCGAAGTACGCCACCAATCCGAAGCGGCGCGGCCGCACGGCGACTTCTCGGCTATTAAGCCTCTTACACTATATGCTTGACAGTTGGCACGTGCGCAACCACACTCGTTGCTTGGAGGACCCAGAGGCTGCAAGGAAATTGGACCCCAGGCACGACGAGAACAAGCATCTCACTGCCCACATCGACACTGAGGCTTGCGAGCAGTGCTTTTCGTTTCTTGATCGGATCACGTACGTGGGAATGAATATGAACCCGGGGCATTTGCCGTTTACTATTATACATGTGCGCAGCCGCGCGCGTCCGCCACATCCCAGAACGCCGCGCAGCAAAGGAAATACGAACGTAATTGCAGCCTTGCCTTTAAGGCAATCAATTCCACACATATTTGTTTCAGAAAACACCAGAATGCGCCGAGCGGTTGCGCGGCTACGCCGACGCAGCCGGAAGATTTGCTGTTCGATTTTGAGAACACCAAGGTTATGTCAGCAAGGGCCAAGCGCTCCTGAGAACCAGGCCCGCTCCTGACAGCAACCGCCCTGCTTAATTAGCCCGGCTTCGTTTGGGTCGCCCTGCGCGTTCAGCCTCGACCGACGCAGTGGGTTTCAGCAGGGCTTTCGCGTTTCACTGTGCTTGACAGTTGACTTGTTCGCTCCGTGTGCTTCTGCTGCGCCTGCGCCTCTCTGCGCGGTCTTTCTTGGTTATCCTCATTATTATCCCTCCCGCGCCCTGTTCCTCCTCCTCCTCCTCCTCCTCCTCCTCTTCCTCCTCCTTGTTATCTTCCTCATATTCCTTCTCATGCTCTTCCCTCCCACCTTCCGATTATTTTGTCTCCAAGACAGCGCCCAGTCTTCAACGGACTCCGTCTCCAAGAAAGCGCCCGCTACTCAGCGGCCTCCGTCTCCAAGACATCACCCAATATTCAACGGACTCTGCGTCCAAAGGATCACCCAGTACTCAAAAGACTCCGTCTCCAAGACAGTACCGTGTGCTCAACAGACTCCGTGTCCAAGAAGGCGCCCAGTACTCCACAGGCCCCGCTGCCAGAGAGCACCCACTACTCAACATACTCCGTCTCCGAGAGAGCACCCTCAGGTCACGGTTTCTGCTTCCGGTTCCGCTTCTGGTTCCGGTTCCCTTTTTCCTCGGGGCCCCAACGAAAACCTTCAAAGTCACGGTTCTGGTTTTGGTTCCGGTTCCGGTTCTGGTCCCAGTTTCCTTCTTCTTCGGGGCCCCAGAGAAGCCTATCCAGATCATGGTTCTGGTTTCAGTTCCGGTTCCGGTTCCGGCGTCGGTTTCCTTGTTCTTCGGGCTCCCAAAGAAGACCCCCCAAGGCACGGTTTTTGGTTCCTGTTCCGGTTCTGGTTTCTTTCTTCTTCGTGGTCCAAACGAAGATTTTCCAGGTCACGGTTTTGGGTCCAATTCCGGTCCAGGCCTGTGCTTCCAAAACAAAAACCACTAAACAACGAGTCCACTGACCCCGTCTCTCAAACATCACTCTGTGCTAAACAGCCTCCCTCTCCAAGGCAGCACCCGGTATTCCACAGACTCCGTGTCCAAGGGAACACCCAGCACTCAACAGACCCCGTCTGCAAGACTCCGTGTGTACTCACCAGACTCCGTGTCCAAGAAGGCACCCAGTACTCAACAGACCACGATGCCAGAGAGCACCCACTAGAGGTGTATTTAAAGACCGCCCGCTTTTGTTTCCAACAGAGCACCCGCTATTCAACTGACTCCGCCCCAAAGAGAGCACCCGCTACTCAGACAACCTCCGTCTCCAAGACAGCACTTGGTATTCAGCAGACTCCGTGTCCAAGAGAGCACCCAGTACTCAACAAGCTCCGTCTCCAAGACAACACCCAGTACTCAACAAACCCCGTGTCCAAGAAGGCACCCAGTACTCAACAGACCCCGCTGCCAGAGAGCACCCACTAGAGGTCTAGTTTTAAAAACCCGACCCGCCCGCCCGCCACCCGCCCGCCCGCCCGCCCGCCCGACCGCCCGCCTCTGTCTCCAAGAGAGCACCCATTACTCAACAGACTCCGTTTCAAAGAGAGCAGCCACTACTCAACAGCTCCCGTCTCCAAGGCAGCACCCAGTATTCAACAGACTCCGTGTCCAACACACCCCGTTGCCAGAGAGCATTCGTTAGAGGTCTATTTGGAAACCCGACCCGCCCGACCCGCCCACCCGCCCGCCCGCCCGCCCGACCGCCCGCTTCTGTCTCAAGAGAGCACCCATTACTCAACAGACTCCGTTTCCAAGAGAGCAGCCACTATTCAACACCTCCCGTTTCCAAGGCAGCACCCAATATTCAACAGACTCCGTGTCCAAGGGAGCACCCAGTATTTACAAGCCTCCGTCTCCAAGACAACCCCCAGTACTCAACAGACCCCGTGTCCAAGAAGGCACCCAGTACTCAACAGACCCCGCTGCCAGAGAGCACTCTCTAGAGGTCTACTTAAAAACCCGACCAACCCGCCCGCCCCCCGCCCGCCCGCCCGCCCCGCCGCTTCTGTTTCCAAGAGACTCCATCTCCAAGGGAGCACCCGCTATTCAATAACCTCTGTCTCCAAGACAGCACCTCATGGTGCCAGCTTTTTCTTCACGGGAGTGCCATGTGGACTACCGCAGGTCACGGTTCTGAATGCCGTTCCAGTTCTGGTTTCGGTTTCCGTCTTTTCCGAAGCCAAGGAAGCTGCAGGTCACGGTTTTTGGTTCCGGTTCCGGTTCTGGTTCCGGTTTCCTTCTTCTTCGGAGCACAAATAAACCTACCAGGTCACGGCTTGGTTCTGGTTCCGGTTCCAGTTCCGGTTTCCTTCTTCGTCGGGCTCCCGAAGACCCCCCAGTCGCTGTTTTGGTTCCGGTTCCGGTTTTGGTTCCGGTTTCCTTTTTCTTGGGGGTCCCCAAAAAGACCCCCCAGGTCACGGTTTTGGTTCCAGTTTTGGTTTGGTTCCGGTTTCTTTCTTCTTCGGGGTCCCAGAAAAAACCTTCCAGATTACGGTTTTGGTTTTGGTTCCGGTTCCGGTTTCCTTCTTCTTCTGTCTTCGAAGAAGACCCCCCAGGTCACGGTTTTGGTTCCGGTTCCGGTTCCGGTTCCGGTTTCCTTCTTCTTCGGGGTCCCAAAGAAGACCTTCCAGGTTACGGTTTTGGTTCCGGTTCCGGTTCCGGTTCCGGTTTCCTTCTTCTTCTCCGCCCCAGAGAAGACCCTCAGGTCACGGTTTTGGTTCCGGTTCCGGTTTTGGTTCCGGTTTCCTTCTTCTTTTTCGCCCGCAGAGAAAACTTTCCAGGTCACGGTTGTGGTTCCGGTTCTGGTTCTGGTTCCGGTTTCCTTCTTCTTTCCTCGTTTGAGACGGTCGTCGTGGTTCCGGTTCCGGTTCCGGTTCCGGTTCCGGTTTCCTTCTTTTTCTCGGTGCCCAGGGGCGCCTCCGGTCATGGTTCTGGTTCCGGTTCCGGTTCCGGTTCCGGTTTCCTTCTTCTTCCCCGCCCCGAAGAAGGCCTCCTAGGTCGCGGTTTTGGTTCCGGTTCCGGTTCCGGTTCCGGTTTCGGTTTCCTTTTTCTTCTTTGGTTCGAGGGGCTCCCGAGGTCCTGGTTTTGGTTTCGGTTCTGGTTTTGGTTCCGGTTTGTGTTTGCCTTCTTCCGGCGCTCTTCTGTTCTGGTTTTGGTTCCGGTTCCGGTTCCGGTTCCGGTTTCCTTCTTCTTCCCCCTCCCGAAGAAGGGCGCCGAAACCACCACCAAAACCACGCTCGCCCGCGCCATGGAGCCGAAGACGGTCGACATCAACGCCGAGCTGGAGAAGAAGACCACGACGTTGCTGAAGGGGTTTTAAGCGCCAGGTCGCCATGCAGCCGCGCGGCGTGGACCTCAGTGGCTGGGGCGCCGACGTCGCCATCGGCGTATGCATGCGCGCGGCGCGAGTCGCGCATGACAAGCGCTGCGAGGTGCTCACGGCCGTCGTGATCTTGGAGCTCCCGACCGCGGTGCATCTCACAGGCGCGTTGTGCCTAAACAGCGTTGTATGTGTGATTAATTGTGTTAGGTTGACGGTTCACCCTGGGCGTCGAGCTGCAGCTCGCGCCCCGAAGGCGACGCCAAGTGCAAAAAAAGGCGGGCTCGCGCTGGTGGCGCCCAGCACCAGGTTCGTCACGAAGGCCGCTGGCGCGACCTGGGCTGACGAGCCGACGTCGGCGGTCGACCTGGGAACCGTCGCGCTGCAGCGTGATGGCATGCCGCCATCGGCATCCAACGTTGCCATCTTGCCGCGCTTCGCTGCGGGCGAGAAGGCGCGCCTCCGCGGGCGGCGCCGTGCTGGCAGGTCCCCAGTTCCTCCGACGACGGCAACGCGAAGCAGAGCGCCGTCGAGGTGGTCTTGACGGACAACACTGGCACACGCAAGCTGAACGCGCCGTGCTTGGTGAACACCAAGGAGGTGAAGCCAGGCGCGACGACGACGACGACAACGACGACGCGCGGTTTGCGTAGCCTCACAAGCGACCAGCTCAAGCTGCATGTGCCGCCGCTGCAGAGGGGGGCAGAAGCGCAAGGTGCAGTGATAGCTGCGCGGTACAGTCTGCCGACCGCGCGTCGGGAGACATTTCAGACGACTGGGCGTCGGCTGACATATGAACCCATCGATGTCTGTCGGCGGCGCGTCGGCCGCGCGCGCCGATAATCAATCGCGCGCGCCGGGTCGCTGCAGGCGCCCGATGGGCCGCAGCCCGCGCGGGGGAGGGCGGCGGATCGGATGAGGGAGGGGGTGGCAGAGGAATGCGACAGTGTAGTATATGCGACGAGGACGACGACGTCGAGAGGGATGTCGGGAGGGGAAACGGGGGTGGTGAGGGACAGGGAATATCATAACATGTCGGGCGTTAGCCAGAATATGCTTCTCGCGAGGTAACTGACTGACGGGCGGGGGCGCAAACTATGGCACAACCAATAAGAGCCAGAATGATCCAACTATATCATCGGCGGCAGAGGGCGCAGCCAGTGGCGAAACCAGTGGGTGCAACTTATATCCTCGGCGGCCGACTGCGCAATCTACTATGTGCCAGATATGTATTCGGCGGCCAAGGGTGCAGCCAATGGCGCAACCAATGGGAACCAGCTATGCCATCGGTTGCCGAGGGCGCAACCTATAGCACAACCAGGAGTTATATAGTCATACCCTCGGCGGCCGAGCGTGCAACCTATGGCGCGGCGCAGACGGGGCACAGAGTGGCTGGGCATCGGATTGCGTGCTGGGTTCGCCCGACTTATGCTCGTCGTTTGGGCTGCAACCCACGCGGCGAGCTGTCGTGTGATTTGGCGCGTGCGCATCCGCCGCGTCGCCGCTTAGCCTTTGTGGTGCAGGTGCGGCGGCGGTCTAGGGGTTGTAAAGACCGCGGTGTGCCCATGGCGATTGCGGTGGTTCGGCCAGCGGTTGTGACCATCGACGACGGATGCGCATGGCGCGTGTCGAATGGGGTGGTCGTCGACGATACTGCCTTTGGCGAGGTGGATGTCCATCGAAAAGTCGACACCCGTGCTGCCGCGCGCCCGCCTGCCCGTTCGGGGTCACATCGTCTAAATATAAATCCCGCGACCGACGCGTCTGCTACGGCCGACGCGCGCGCGCGGGGTAGGTCGGTCTGGGTGGGGTTAATGTGTCATTGCATGCAGTGGCCTACGCGGTGGGCAGGGCTGCTTGTACTAAGTTTGCATTGTCCGATGCGTGGGCACCAGGACATCCCCACTGGAGGTTACTGGAACAGCGCAGCACGGTGGTGCGGAAGATGGTGGACTCGCTGAAGCGCAAGCGCAAGCAGGCGAGCCTGCAGGCGGCTGCGCCGCGGGGGGCCGACATCAACACCTACGGCGCCCACAAGATGCGCAAGCTTCTCAAGGATATGGGTGCTCGGTGTTCGCGCTTGCTACCCAGCTGCAGCTGCCCCCCCCCCAGAAGTACTACAAGGCCATGGTGGGTGCGGGCGCCCCCCCCCCATCGTGGAGGTCGCCTGCGGTGGCGGAGTCGTCAGGGTGCTGCAGAACGTCGACGAGCGGCGGTCCCTGTTCGTCGAGCTGGAGCCCGGCGCCCTCGCCCGCCTCCGCGCCCAGGCCGCGCAGGGCAGATGGTGTTGTTGGATGGTGCCCGGCTGCAGCTGGGCACGTGTAGTTGTTAGCGCGTTGGTGTGGTGAGGTTGTGCATGCTTCCCAGCTGCAGCTGGGCATCCCGAGGACCTCGCGGGCGCCGAGGACGGCGCCGAGGGCGGCGCCGAGGACGGCGCCGAGGGCGGCGCCGATGGCAGCGCATCGCTCGCGGGATCGGACGCCCGGGACAGCGACGAGGTCACCGATGACGGCGCCGAGGGCGGCGACGCGGGCGCCGGGGGCGGCGCCCAGGGCGGCGCCGAGGGCGGCGCCCAGGACGGCGACGACGGCGGTGCATCTGCGGCGGCGGCGCCCCCAGAGCGGTCGGCGCCCACTGGCTCCGCAAGAGGAACGCGCACGTCGCAAGGCGACGGGCGGGCGAGGGCGGCTGGACCTACAAGCGGTTCAAGCCTGAATCCGCGGGGCACGCCGCGATCCGCGCCGCGCGCGCCCGCGCGCGCGTGGCAGGTGGAGGGTGCAAGTGGCCATGCAGCAGCGGCTGCAGCCGCAGCCGCGGGTGCTTAGGCGTAGGATATGTGCATGCAGGGGGTGGGGGGGGGGGGCGCAGCTGCGCTGCGCGCGTGGCAAACAACGCAGGGCGACGGACGACGACGACGCGGGGCAACAGCAGTGATGCAGCATACGGTGGGCCAGTGAAGGGCGATGTCAGTGCGCCGAGGACTGTGAATGGGACGAGGTGCGAGGCACATGATGTGGATTTGCAGCGATGTGAATCGCCCTCCCCCCTCATCCCTCCTATGTGGGTTCGTCGTCAGTCGTTCCATTCGGATGATTGCATGTCGTCCGTGGTTCGTCGCCGTCGTGCGCGTCGCCCGTCGGATGTCGGCTGCAGACGACGTCGCATGCATCGCGGGCGTCAGCTGCAGCTGTCGTGTCAAGGTCAGCGGAGGGCAGGCCCGCGTTGCGTCGGGCGGTCGTATGGGCCCGTGATGAGCGACGGCGCCGTCGGCACTGCGGAGCTGCAGGGCAGCTGACGGCGGCGCTGCAGTGCCACGTGCCGCGGCAGCCACAGCCGTGGCGCGAGCCGCAGCGGGAGGCCGTCAACCCGCAGGAGGGCGGGCAGTGGCACGAGTCGCAGCTGCTGCAGCAGCATCAGCAGTGGGAGCAGCGGCACGAGCTGCAGCGCAAGCAGTTGCGCGGGCAGCAGCAGCAGGAGCAGCTGATGCGTGAGCAGCTGATGCAGCAGCAGTGGCACGAGCAGCAGCTGCTGCAGCAGCAACAGCAGCAGCAGTGGCCGTGCACGCAGCAGCAGTGGCAGGCACAGCTGGCGACCGCCGTGCAGCAGCATCAGCTGCTGCAGCAGCAGCATCAGCAGCGCCAGCAGCAAGTCGCAGATGCTGCCGCCGCCTCAGCCGAAGCCGCCGCAGCCGCAGCTGCTGAAGCAGCAGCCGTCCACATCAGCAACACGCAGCAGCAGCAGCAGCAGCAGCCGCCGCGGAAGAAGAAGCGCGCCGACGGGGCGCCTCGGCCAGGGTTCTGGATGATCAACACGGTCCAGCTGGCCGAGGCGATCGTGATGCGCCGTGACCCCGGTACCATCCGCGCGATGGCACGCGATCGCCTCGCGATTGAATTAGGGGACTGTGTATAGTCCTAGACCGCTGCAGCGGCGGGGGGGGGGGAGATGGATAGGTATGGGGTGTGGGTATGAGCGTGGCGCAGCGGCATCATTCAGGGCTAGGCGCATCTTCGTTGTCTTGTGGATCATATTATTACCACATGGTGCAGAACAGACAGCATACATATGGTGCAGGACAGCCAGCAGAGAACTAAGGTGCGCCGACACCCTGAGTCTTTAATTTTCCGTGCGGTCGGGCACTCGTGGAGTTCCCAGGCTCGTGACCGCGTTCCGTCAGAAAGGTGCGCGCAGTCTGGCTAATATGCTCGTGCTGGTGTCGGCTGTAGCCCAAACCCCGTGATTGAATTGGGCGGGCGGGGCGCCACCAATCGCGTAAAACAGTTGAGCCATGCATACCCTCGGCGGCCGATGGCACAGCCTATGGCGTAGCCATAATAGGAGCAACATCATCGTTGGCCGATTCTTTCTGTTTTTCCCCACCCGCCGTGCGTTACGACGGGTTTCGTTTCCCAAACAGCTTGCTGAAGGGGGTGCTGTTGTGGTAGAAACTAACTCCGGCCGAGGGAAGTCGGAGCAGAGACATCCTCACACAAATTTTATGGTTTTGGCCGTTTCGCTTGAGACATCCTCACAACTCTCGTTTCTGAGTTGGCTGGGATTGGCCGTTTCGCCTGAGACATCCTCGAAAAGTTGCGCTCCGGGACGCCGCGCGAGAGGTGGTCTGGGCCGTTTCGCTTGAGACATCCTCGAAACTCTGAGCCCCGAGGTGCCGTGCGAGAGGTGGTCCGGGTCGTTTCGCCTGAGACATCCTCAAAAAGTTGCGCTCCGGGACGCCGTGCGAGAGGTGGTCCGGGCCGTTTCGCCTGAGACATCCTCAAAAAGTTGCGCTCCGGGACCCCGCGCGAGAGGTGGTCCGGGCCGAGGTGCCGTGCGAGAGGTGGTCCGGGCCGTTTCGCCTGAGACATCCTCGCAAGTCTGAGCTCTGAGATGCCTTGCGCGAGGTGGTCCGGCCCATTTCGCCTAAGACATCCTCGAAACTCTGACTTCGGAGATGCTGCGCGAGAGGTGGTCTGGCCCGTTTCGTTGAGACATCCTCGAAATTCTGAACTCTGAGATGCCCTGCGCGAGGTGGTCCGGCCCGTCTCGCCTGAGACATCCTTGCAACTCTGAGCTCTGAGATGCCGTGCGCAAGGTGGTCCGGTCTGTTTCGCACAAGACATTCTCGCAACTCTGAGCTCTCAGATGCTGCGC